AGAAAGGAGAGGTGAGTGGGAACAAGGAGGAGAAACTTCTTTTTCTTCTTCTTTTTCTTCTTTTTTTTCTTCTCCTCTTCTTCTTCTTCTTCTTCATTTTCTTCTATTTCTTCGTCTTGTTTTTTTTCTTCTTCTTCTCCTTCTCCTTTTTTTTTTTTTTTTTTTTTTTTTTCCTTTTTTTTTTTCCTTTTTGTCCCTTATTGCTTACTTTTCATCCCTTTTCCCTCTTCTCTTCCTTCCTCATCATCTTCTTATCCTCCTTGAGGGGAAGTAGAAAGTAGCTCCTCCATTGGTAGTGTCTCCATGGTGTGTCGGTTCTTCTCTAGTTGCTCCATAACTCATATGTGTGTGAGTGGTAGTCTCATTTGTGCAAGTTTAGTTTTTTCCCTACCTTGTGATGTGCCGGTTCTTCTCTAGTTGCCTCATAACTCATCTGTATGCAAGTGGTAGCATCATTTGTGCAAGGTCAGCTCTTTCCCTACCTTATGATCTGTCAGTTCTTCTCTAGTTGCCCCATAGCTCATGTATGTGTGAGTGGTAGTCTCATTTGTGCAAGTTCAATCATTTCCCTACCTTGTTATGTGCCGGTTCTTCGCTAGTTGCTCCATAGCTCATGTGTGTGTGAGTGGTAATCTCATTTGTGCAAGTTAAGTTTTTTCCCTACTTTGTGATGTGCCGGTTCTTCCTTAGTTGGTCAATAGCTCATGTGTGTGTTTAGTAGTCTCATAGTGCAAGTTCAGTCTTTTTCCTACCTTGTGATGTGTCGGTTCTTCTCTAGTTGCTCCATAGCTCATGTGTGTGTGTAGTAGTCTCATTAGTGCAGGTTCAGTCTTTTCCTATTTTGTGATGTACCAGTTCTTCTTGAGTTGCTCTGTAACTCATGTATGTGTGTGTGGTAGTCTCATAGTGCAAGTTCAGTTTTTTCCTTACTTTGTGATGTGTCGGTTCTTCTCTAGTTGCTTTATGGCTTATGTGTGTGTGAGTGGTAGTCTCATTTGTGCAAGTTCAGTCTTTTTCCCTACTTTGTGATGTGTCGGTTCTTCTCTGGTTGCTCCATAGCTCGTGTGTGTGTGAGTGGTAGTCTCATTTGTGCAAGTTCAATTTTTCCCCCTTTTCGTGATGTGCCGGTTCTTCTCTAGTTGCTCCATAGATCATACATATATGTGTTGCAGTCTCATTGGTGCAAGTTAAGTTTTTTCCCTACCTTGTGATGTACCGGTTCTTCTCCAGTTGCTTCATAGCTCATGTGTGTGTGTGTAGTAGTCTCATTAGTGCAGGTTCAGTCTTTTTCTACTTTGTGATGTACCGGTTCTTCTCGAGTTGCTCCGTAACTAATGTATGTGTGTGTGGTAGTCTCATAGTGCAAGTTCAGTCTTTTTCCTACTTTGTGATGTGTCGGTTATTCTCTAGTTGCTCCATAGCTCATGTGTGTATGAGTGGTAGTCTCATTAGTGCAAGTTCAATATTTTCCCTACTCTGTGATGTGTCGATCCTTCTCCAGTTGCTCCATAGCTTATGTGTATATGAGTGGTAGTCTCATTTGTACAAGTTCAGTTTTTTCCCTACTTTGTGATGTGCCGATTTTTCTTTAGTTGCTTCATATGTTGCAGTCTCATTAGTGCAAGTTCAATATTTTCCTACTTTGTGATGTACCGGTTATTCTCTAGTTGTTCCGTGAGTCATGTATGTGTGTGTTGTAGGTTCTTGCTGCAGTTCAGTCCTTCCTTCATTTAGTGATGTGGCGGTTGCCTCCTAATTGTTCCGCRGCTCATGTATGTATGTGTTGTAGGTTTTTTGCTACAATTCAATCGATTCTTCACTTAGTGATGTGACAGTTGGTCCCTAACTGTTTCGTGACTCATGTATTTGTGTGTTGTAGGTTATTTGTTGCAGTTCAGTCTTTCCTTCACTTAATTATATGACTGTTGCTTCCTGGATACTCCGTGACTCATGTATGGGTGTGCTGTAGGCTCTTTGCTGCAGTTCAGTCTTTCCTTTAGTTAGTGATGTGGTGGTTGCTTCCTAGCTGTTCCGTGACTCACGCGTGAGTGTGTTGTAGGTCTTTTACTGTTGTTCGGTCTTTCTTTCACTTAGTAATGTGGCAGTTGCTTCCAAGTTGTTTTGTAACTCATATATATGTGTGTTGTAGGTTCATTGCTGCAGTTCAGTGTTCTCTTCGCCTGGTGATGTGGCGGTTCCTTCCTAGTTGTTCCGTGATTTATTTATGTGTATGTTGTAGGTCTTTTGCTGCAGTTCAGTCTTTTCTTCACTTTGTCATATGTCGGCTCTTCCTAGTTGCTTCCCCAACTTCACACATGTGCATGCTCTAGCCTAAATTGTGCAGTTCAGTCTTCTCTCACTTAATGATGAATCGATTCAGATCTTGAACAGGGGACGGTAGGTCAAGTAAGGGTAAGGTTTAATTAGGATTAGGGAGGTTTTTTTTTTTTTTTTTTTTCTCTCTCTCTCTTTCTTTCTCTCTCTTCTCTGTCTCATACTTCGGCCCCCTTAACCCTCTTCTCTTCCACCACTTGGCATATAACTAACCCTTCACCACTCACTTGTTACATTGCCAGAGAACGAACAGTGAAAATAATTTGTTCTCACTTGGCGGAGAAAGTGGGCAAGGGAAGGGTTGCCGGTCCCTTGTGCCGCCTAGAAGGAAAATGAAAAGATACGTGAGCAATTGAGAGGAGTCAAGTTTGAGAAAAAAGACTAGACCAAGTCGGTACTTAAAGCAAGGTCAGTTTGACTCAAACATTTCCCCGACTGCATGACTATGAGAAGAGGATGGACTGATTGAGCAAAGGAAGGAGAATAAAGAAGAAGCCAAAGAAAAGGAAAGTTATGCATGCGGGAAGGGCTATGTGTTGATTCCAATGGGGGATTGTATCGGTCTTTGCCTTTGTGTGGGATTGTGCAGGTGAGTAAAACCTTGGGATGCCTTGAGCGGGACCGGGCCGGGAGAAACCAGGCGGCAAAGGAAAAGGGAAGAGGGGGCAAAGGGGCTACGGGACCCTTAGTGTAAAATCACCCCATGAAATAGATTTTTGTGCATGAAATTTGGAGGGTGAATGAAATAATGGAGTGTGACTTTTGCTGATCGGAATGTGAGGCGGCCTGTGCATGCGTATGAAGGCCCCGAAAAGACTAAGGTGCTTGCTGCCATAACGATGGATGGAATATATGTGACACGAGGAGTGCGTAGCGGCGAAGGGAAAAACGACATTCCCACACCCCGATGACGCCATAGGATCGTTGAGTTTAGGGAAATGGTGCATGGCCTAAGGATGACGCTTAGCCTGCACACAAAAGAAGAGGAACTCTCAAAGAACCCCTGGACTGTCTGCGTATTGGAAGAATCATTTGCTTGAGAACACAACCGAGAATCAAAGAAAAAATCCGCGTTTGCGGAATGACCAGCGAGACTACAACCTGGCGCGAGGGCTGAGCTACATCCCCAATGTCAAAGCTCTCTCGCTCGATGACGCACCCCAATCCATCTCAAAGCACTAGGTGGGGGTGACCCTGGGACGAACGGCCCGCGCCCTGAGCATGAGCGTGGGCGGGCCGAGCCAGCTGGGACCCGCAGCTATGGTGCCTAGGTAAGTCTCTCTTCCTTCCAGCTCGAATGTCCTTGAAGGGCCCAGCTGTATACCGCTGGGCCTGGTTGAGCAGTCCTTGGTCTGTGATCAGGACCGTCGGATCTGATGCCCGATCGATGGTCCTCATCGAAGGTCCCAGTCCTGGCCAAGAAACGGCCTGCCTGGGTCCCTACCGGACGTCCAGGCAATCCTGCTGATGCAGCAGTGTCCTGAGGACTGGGCCAGGCATGAACAGACAAATGCCTGGTCCAGTCCCACATACGGACAAATCTGAACCTGGCCTACAACGACCGAAACTGAATCAAGCAGCAAAAGTAATGAATCCTGGGGGCCTGGCCTGGAATATGGCCGTGCGCCTCCAGGTCGCTCACCAAAAATGGGTGCGCGGCCTGGGGCCCTGGAACAACCATCGGGCCCCAAAACAGGGCCCGTGTAGCGGCCTCAGCATGCTACAATGACCCAACCTGCCTTCATCCATTGAACTGCTATCAGCCACCCCACATCTGCCTAGGGACATAAGAGGTGGTAGCCCTGCTTCGTAGAGTACTGACATAGTGGGACCAATTTATTAGAATGATTTGGATGATTCCGTTCGCAATCTCTTAGGGTAAACTAAACGGAAAAGGGTCTGAGTGAAGGGGAAGTGCAGTTCTTGATGGACGCTCGAGTTTTGTGTTTCTTTTGTTACCTTTTCGTGGATGAACGAAAGACCCGTGATCATCTGAAGGGGGAAGCAATGACGATGGAATAAGTTTCGCTCAAGTTTTTTCAACAAACGAGAAAGCGGAAACCTGATGGAAGTGTGGGAAATGGGGGAAAAGAAAGAGGAAGGGCCAGCGATTGAGAGGAGGAAATCTACATTGTAGGCACGGAGGAAGGAGGGGCCGGCTTTCACAGGCGCTGCGGAAGGGGGTGGAAGAGAGGCAGTTAAGTTGGAGTGGGTGAGACGAGGGGAAAGTGCTCTCTGCTGCAAATGACACGTCGAAAGCCTGCGGGGCGGGAACAGGAATTGAAGTGTGTTGCTATCTGAAAGGGGGACATGGGGACACCAAGTTTAGTCGTGCTTTCACGACCTTTTAGCTCACCTCCATACATCAAAGGGAATTCATCATATCCTGAATCCAGTGTATGGCGCACCCGATATGATGGGCGGATCGGCGGGTGGCTGTAAGTTAGCTTGACCTTCTTTGGATAGGCTGGTTATATGAATATAGAGGGGGGGGGGAAGAGAGAGAGAGAGAGAGAGAGAGAGAGAGAGATGAGGAAGGGAGGGGAAGATGGGAAATGGCGATGGTTGGAATTCAGAGGGAGCAGATCTTCCAGGCGGTGGCCTAGAAAATGTGACCAGCAGTAGAGGTGGATGTTTCAGAACGCGTATTGGTCAAGATCATCAGAGTAAACAAAGGCATCAATCGCAGCAGTTGTACCCTTTCTTTGGGTGGGTTTTTGTGGTCGAATCTAGCTTCTCACCTTCAAGGTATGCGTGCAATATCACAGACATTATGGATTCTTTCAAGCAAAGAGAGTAGCCTACAAGTAGACTAGCCATAGCTAAGGTGTCGAGAGGGATTTTTACGTGCTCCGGCGTTGCATGTCTTTTGCGATACCCCTCTGGGTATCTTTCTGTGTTGTGTACTGGCGCGCGCGCGCAAGAGAGAGAGAGAAGAGAGAGAGAGAGAGAGAGAGAGAGAGAGAGAGAGAGAGAGAGAGAGAGAGAGAGAGAGAGAGAGAGAGAGAGAGAGAGATATGTGTTT